TCAGCGGTACTTAACTGGGCGCCATAGCCGTGCTCCACACTGGACCAGGCACAAGAACAAGAACAACGAAGAAGAAGAAGAAGAAGAAGAAGAAGAAGAAGGCCGGAGGCCATACCTGCGTCAGCGGTACTTAACTGGGCGCCATAGCCGTGCTCCACACTGGTGAACTCCACAGCTACAACAACACATACCTGCGTCAGCGGTACTTAACTGGGCGCCATAGCCGTGCTCCACACAGGCGAACTGCACAACAACAACAACAACAACGACGAAGAAGAAAAAGAAGAAGAATAAGAAGAAGAGCGGCGGTGGCCATACCTGCGTCAGCGGTACTTAACTGGGCGCCATAGCCTTGCTCCACACTGGCGACCTCCACAACAACAACAACAACAACAACACATACCTGCGTCAGTGGTACTTAACTGGGCGCCATAGCCGTGCTCCACACTGGCGACCTGCAAAACAACAACAACAACAACAACCACAAGAAGAAGAAGAAGAAGAAGGAGTGGAAGAAGAAGAAGAAGAAGAAGAAGAAGAAGAAGAAGAGGGGCGGAGGCCATACCTGCGTCAGCGGTACTTACCTGGGCGCCATAGCCGTGCTCCACTCTGGTACCTGGGCGCCATAGCCGTGCTCCACTCTGTCGACCTGCACAACAACAACAACAACAACAACAAGAACAACAACAACCACAACAACAACAACAACAACAACAACCACAACCACAACCAGAAGAAGGGTAAGGGGAAGGAGAAGGGGAAGGGGAAGGGGAAGGGGAAGGGGAAGGGGAAGAAGAAGAAGAAGGAGGAGGAGGAGGAGAAGGAGGAGAAGGAAAAGAAGAAGAAAAAGAAGAAGTGGAGGGGCGGAGACCATACCTGCGTCAGCGGTACTTACCTGGGCGCCATAGCCGTGCTCCACGCTGACGACCTGCATAACAACAACAACAACAACCACAACAACAACTACAACCAGAAGAAGAAGGAGAAGAAGGAGGAGAAGTAGGAGGAAGAGGAGGAGAGGGAGAAGAAGAAGAAGAAGAAGAAGAAGAAGAAGAAGAAGAAGAAGAAGAAGAAGAAGAAGAAGAAGAAGAAGAAGAAGAAAAAGAAAAAGAGGAAGAACAAGAAGAAGAAGATAGGCGGAGGCCATACCTGCGTCAGCGGTACTTACCTGGGCGCCATAGCCGTGCTCCACACTGGTACCTGGGCGCCATAGTTGTGCTCTACGCTGTCGACCTGCACAACAACCACAACCACAACCACAAGACCAACCACAACAACAAGCACAACAACAACCACAACAACAAGCACAACAACAACCACAACCAGAAGAAGAAGGAGAAGGGGAAGGGAAGGGAAAGGGAAGGGGAAGGGGGAGGAGGAGGAGGACGAGAAGAAGAAGAAGAAGAAGAAGAAGAAGAAGAAGAAGAAGAAGAAGAAGAAGAAGAAGAAGAAGAAGAAGAAGAAG